GGGTACCCATATGCCCTCAGGGGCTATCCTAAGAGGGTATCTATAGGTCTTCAAGGGCTCTCCTAAGAGGGTACCTATAGGTCCTCCAGGGCTATTCTATGAGGGTATCCATAGGTCCTCAAGGGCTATCCTAGCGGGAGACTGATAGGCCATCAAGGGCTATTATATTGTGATACGCATAGACCCTGAAGAGAGTAAGGCAATAGGGAGATAAGGCTGCAAGGAATATATGGCTATAATGCCGAAAGGTATATGAACTATAAAATATGTGCGATATGAGAGTATGAGGCCGTATGGCTATCTATCTATATACATAATATCGAGCGTCTGTATGTATTTTAGCGGATGAAAAGTTGAATGTCTGAGGTCATACATTAAAGGAGAAAACAGCTGTGCAATATGCACGGGTTCTCGCTAGTAAATACATTTTGTTTGTTTCTAAAATCAAACTCAAGGTCTTATCAAATATGAATTATTTTTTCGAGCGGGAAGAAGGATGTTAAAAACTGATACAACATCTTGATAAAAATATCTTCCTAGTATAGTCATTTGTTTATTTTGAGTATTTTCACGAGCAGCTACTGCATGTATCACATTATGTATAGATAGTTAGTATTATGTAAAGTATATTGGTAGCTATTAAATAAGATCTTAGGATTCATTGTGAGTACATTTCGTAAATTCAGAGCTTTGAGATTTTGACGACGATTATAAATAGCTGTAGAAGAATTAAATAACCTTGAAATCTTTGAATAGCTATGGTAATTTCAATAGTTATGAAGATTTAAAAAGTTGCGAAAGTTTAAATAGCTGACTGTTGATTTGAACAGTATCTGTTTTAAAAAAGTTACGAGCTGGGCTGTGGCTTTAGTCATAAACTTCTGTCATATGGACAGAAATCCCGATTCTCAAGTACCAAAATCTATCTGAGAACAATCCTAACAGATAGTTTGTTAGAAGCAGGTACTTGCGGCACTAGTGATTAACCGAATCGAGAAGAAAAGTATAGGTTGTAAAACCCATTATCTTTGATTCGTGTTCTCTGAGCTTGGTAGAACTTTATCAACAAAACTCATTTTTCAGACCAGTTTCATGTATGTGGCTGGCGCACGAGTGCGACCTAGGATATCGGTATTGTGCAGATGTACGTGTGAATTGGGACTGTGACTGTGGCTATCGAAGAAAAGAGAAGACATACTGTGACACTGACATTTGCAGCCACAGCCGCACATTAGGCTCGCACCCAGCACCTACAGCTGCAGCCGTAGTCATACACCACATGCCATACGCCATATCTAAGACGATCCACAAGATATATACAACACTTGTTCATAACTGCTCATGTTTTAAATAAAAAACCTATTCACATGCTTATGTATGACATAGGATTCTCACTTTTTCAGCACTGCGATGTAGTGCATCAGTTTAACGTATTCTACTATCGGCATCTAAGTAGATAATCACGATACCACCAAACTGCTATGACTCATTTTTATATCTTCTCTGCTACTAACTGCACACTTATTCAAGTATATAACTTGTACCATAGCAGTTCCATGGGTCGAAGCGTGTGAAAACGAAGAGAAAACATGAAACATGGCTGTTGTCCAGTGGCAGTCACGTTTTCAGATTATGAGAGAAAAAAATGGCACTTTTCTCTTTTTTTTGCTCATTTCCATGCATTTTCAACGTTTTGTAGCTGCCCGATATCCACTCGTATAGACATAATGTTTCTCACAACTGCATAGAATTGGGACAGATTTGATCATCGTCGACACCCTTCTTGTCATGCGAAAATAGTAGCACAAAGATCAACGAGATATTCTGATGTCAATGATCTTTACTGATCACCATGAATGGCCAGCTGTTCTTTTATCAAGGAATGCTTCCAAGAAGAATAAAATATTATTAATTTCCTCCAATAAGTTCTATGCATATCCAATTTAAAAAAAACAACTTCTGTTGACAGTTGAGTTTTACATTGAAGTTTAATGATATTTTATGACACCAATTTCGTAACACTATGAGAAAGCTACAGATGATACATTCAATTAATTCATATATCCCGATACGATGCCAAAAAAGCTATGTTCAGAGAGCCAACTAAGGGACCGAGGTGAGGGTGTGGGTGTTATTGGACAGGAAACTCGCGTTCACATGTACTCTTATACTCTCGCATCCACATACTTCTTAGATAGGCACGTATTTCACCAACACTGCTACTATCGCAACACACTTACAGTCGACATCCGCCCACATTCACACTCACCCACCCTTACTGATACCCACACTCGCATAATAGCACATCCACTTATATTCATACGCACATCCTCTAATCAAAATAAAAGCCAGTAAGTGTATAATATTTCATGTATTTTTCATTTCATTTTTTTCATCGAATGAATATAAAGCTGAAGTGTACTATATTTTTAACTTTTTGTATTTACTTAAGTTGTTTACTGAATCAAGCATAGTGAAGTGAGTTGTTTTTTTATGTTTCTCTTGACTGTTTATCTAGATTAACTGAGCTATCGAGGGTGTGGGTGGGTGTGGGTGTGGGTGTGGGTGTGGGTGTGGGTGTGGGCGTGGGCGTGGGTGTGGGTGTAGTTCTTCTCTTCATGCACACCCACCCACACCCACACCCAAAATAGTGCTCTCTAGTCGCGCAAGCGTTTTGAATAGCCATTTGTTTTTCATTAATCATTATTTATTTAATAGCAAGAACAAAAAAAATACCATCAGGATGAATCTATTCGATTGAAAATCGTTGCACTCGATCGTTGCCCCAATCGACGACGTAGATATTGCCGTGTTGATCGAAAGACAAACCGGCGGGCCTGTTTACCTGATTTGGTTCTTTTCCTTCACCATTTCTACCCACTATGACAATACCCTGTTTCGCTGCTTTAGGCCAACACATCACTCGATGATTTCCCCATTCTGCTACATACAGGGTACCCCATGTATCGACGAACAATCCTCGAGGAGACGACAATTGTGTAAAAGCTTTGCCTTCGCCTTGACCACCGGCGATGACAACACCTTCTTTGGCATCTTTCTCCCATTTCATCACACGATGGTTTTCGGAATCCGACACATAGACAGCCTGTTGTCGATCAACAAAGACATAGGTCGGCATGTTTAGTTGATTGAGACCATCACCTTTTTCATGACCACCGGCCACGACAGTTCCATTCTTGTCATCTATTCGATATCGTTTTACATCATGTTTGACGGTGTCGGAGATGTACAGATATCTCTGCTCATCCATGGCCAACCCCCAACCATCGATATCATCGATGAGGATTTCTCCTTGAGCTGTGCCACTATATTGAGACCATCGTAAAACTCGTCGATTCCCTTTATCACAAATAATGAGACTTTCAGTTTTTTTGTCGATCAGTACATCGCTTGGAAGCTTGAATTGATTCAATCGATTTCCTAGGCCATTGCCACCAGCTACGACTTGCCCATTGGTATCACCTATCTTCCATTGGACGATACGATTATTAATTGTGTCAGCAATGACCAGTGTTTGATCACTCTCAACGAAGATACTCCAAGGGCGATAGAGTTGATTTGTGTCATCGCCTTTTTCATGACCTCCAGCAACGGTCACTCCATTTTGCGTCCATCGGGCATTGGCCGGAATAGTGGACATCCCTACAATGAACGGAAAATAAAAGGATTCTTAGTTAAACAAGTATCCCTCTTCCGTGAGAAAGAGCTACAAATAGGACATTCTTTTTCACGAGAAATCGACAAAAGTTTCGAGAATATCCTCGAGAATTTTGAAAGTGTCATTCTTTAGCATACTCTATACAAAAGAGGTTTTTTACGAAACTCAAAAAGTTCTTTCCCGCCAATATAAATTCAGGAAACGGTTTTGATTTTCTATTAAAAAAAAGAGTTCAGTACCAATTCATACATCTTTACCACTTTTCTAGTCTCAAATCTGTTCATTCCTCGAGAAACACTAGAAAGACCTGTCAGGATCTGAGCGCCTCATGGTTATACAGTTTTCATGGCTAAACACGATTCTTATCAGACTTCGCTCAAGGAAATCTTTACGAGACTTGAATAGAATCTTTCAATAATGATGCAAAGCTGTTTTCAAAACTTCACTGTGTGTATTTAAGACCCTGTTTGAAGGTTTTCAAGAGCAAGTATTTCGAATACATTGATATCTAATGCTTATCCTATCGAGGACCTTCATATAAATACATGAGAATCTATTTAAACTATTCATAATTCTCTTTTACCGGCTATCTTCAAGTTACTGGTAAGATTTTCTTCCTAAATCAAGTATACAGGGGAGAATGTAGATGTCAGTGTAGATTGAATGCGAGTGGGTCTCGGTGTGGGAAACTATAATATTATTCTTAGCGTTTCTTTTTGATAGTAAAAGCAACGGACTTCAAACTTTGCCATCATTTTGTACCAACTATGATACGATGATCTATCAAAGTTACAAAGAGTTTGCTTCTGTTGAATGCCAGAATGACGTATTTTAAAGCCAATATAAAACTTTTGAGATATTCATTGTCGTAAATGAAGTTGGTGTTGAATCTGGTTTTTTAAATTTCTCGACTCTAAAAATGTTTCACAGAATTTGAGTAATGACTTTCAAAATCTAGGGACAAATAAGAATAGCAGAATTGAGATTTTTATGCAAATATATGATGATAATATCAAACAAGTCGCAGTAAAATTCAAATTTCTAATATCACATGAAATTTCTTTTAAATATATTTCGAGAAAAACCGCACCAAGTCAAGTAAGGAGAGAGAGAAAGAATATGTCTATGTATCTTAAGAATAAAATTTGCAGCTTTAGTCAGATCTAAATGTTCGGTTGAGAAAATCAATTGATTTGGATATATTAATAGCATCTATCGTATAGCACAGTTATATTGATTGTGTCTATGGATTAGTGACGTTTCTGATTGCTTCTTACTGTTTTTCATGAAAATAATTGATATGTATGTTATAAATATCATTCTTATAAAGGGTTGCGAAAGAATTATGATAACGACTTACATCAATATAAGTCTCTCTAAGAATGTAAGCTAACTAGAATTTATGGTTGGATAAAAAGAAAGCTCAATATTGCATGCGTGCTCAACTCGATCGATGAGAAATCAAGGGGGAAAGTGCAGGTTCCAAGCACCAAATTATGGCCGATGGTGCTGAAAAGGTGCTGAGGTGCTGAGAAGGTGCTGAGGTGCTGAGAAGGTGCTGAGGTGCTGGGGGTTTCAAATCTGCACTTTCCCCCTTGTGAGAAATTCGAAAGAAAAGTTTTATAGTGAGGTAAACTAATTGAGATCCTGAGAACATAGATACACTAAGCAATAAATAACGTATATTTACGAGAAAAATTGTTTAATAATCAAATATATTTCTCATCTATCTGGATTCCTAACAAGCCAAAAACACAAATACTTCTATACATATACAATAATCAAATTCATCTAAAAACAATCAAGACAACAATGCAACAGAGTCTTACCTATTGGACTTGATGTTTCATTCGATCTTGTAGAACTAGCATCAATAGACAAAAATTAAATCACTATCAAGGACGAATTATAATACGTACCTGATTTCTTTCACCGAACTGAGAAGCTGTTGACATGTTGGCCTATTTTGAGGTTCATGTGCCCAAGCTCTCGATATCATTTCTGCAAATGAATGGGGAATAGTTCCAGGAATATTCAATCGATCTCCTCGCAGGACGAATGTACTGATCGTTGAATCATCGGCTTCCGCGTATGGTTCACACCCTGTACCTAGTTCCCAGAGCACAACACCAAGGGCATACACATCACTAGCTTCTGTATGTCTTTCAATTCTCAGTAATTCAGGCGCTTTCCATATTAAAGTACCAACAGAGTGACTTATAGACGATTGGCATGATGTTTCATAACGTATCTTAGCTAAACCAAAATCAGCAACTTTGACAAGAAAATCTTTTCCATTCTGTTTCAAAAGAATGTTGGGAGACTTGATATCACGATGGATAATTGGTTTTGGAAGCTTATGCAAGTAATTGATACCTTTGATCATCTGACAGCCTATTGACCATCGATCGGACCATGTTAGTTGTAATGTGTTTCTTTTCAGAAGATCGTAGAGAGAGCCAAGAGACATATATTCGACTATGAGTGCATATTTTTGGGGTTCCATGCAGGCGCCAAATATGTTGAGAATATGATCGTAATGGACTCGATTCATCATTGCAATTTCTCTAACAAAGTCTCCTCTAACGGTTTCATTCAAATGTTGGACTCGAATAACTTTAATAGCCACTTCATGATCTTGAGAGAGCCATCTTCCACGATATACATCAGCGAATCCCCCTTGTCCAATACATTGTTCTCGTACCAAATCGTAATACGGAATATGAAGAAAAGCACTGTCTTCCTCGGCAATATCCTTTGCTCTGTGGGAATCGCTTCTTTTCATAATATTCTGCTGAAGATAATGCTTAAATGAATTAAGTCGCTGAGATATATTTTCTTCAATGCCTTTAACGTGACGAAGTTGTTCATCTTGTCGTTGTGCCATGAGCGATGCAATTTCATCAAGTTTGCATTGAATGGCATCCAGATCCGTTTTTTGATCATTCTCATCCAGTTTAGGATCAAAAATCTGTTTCAAATTAATGCTCAAATTGAAATCAGTAGCATATTGTGTAAGTTGAAGATTCAATTCTTCAAATTTCTCTTTAGAATTTTGATTTTTAAAAACCTTCGAAAACCATGACGTTTCATCTTTAAACTGAGTAACGAATTCAAGACATTTCTGAATGCAAGTGCGATAGTTATCCAAAGATTTTCGAAGTTCTAGTCTGCATAGAGCTCGATCATCCATTGATTTCAAGGCAAAAGTAATAGCATCGATTCGTTCTGCTAATCGTTTGCATTGTTTTTGATTCGCTTTTACTTCTTTAACAGTTTCTTGAATAACCATTGCTACGTGAAAGATAGTCTTGACAATAACTACTGGGTCCATATCGAACAAGATGAAGGCTTAAAATGCTACAAAGAATGAAAAAACAACTAGGCTTATTATATCAGAAACATCGGAAAAGTACAGTGCATATTGAAATCAATACTATTTGCTACGATTGATTCGATCGCAATCTTTGTAGAAATTGATCATTTCCGAAGTTAAAATATTTGTAACGAAAAAATGAGCAGTTATCAATACCAAAGTCAACAGTTGTCTAGCACTTATATTCGTCTAAATCATCTACCGTAACTCACAGGACTTTATCACACAGAGATTCTTGTGAAAGACAATTGTTACTAAATGTTGAAGCATACATAGAGATACATAAATTTCCAGAGTGATCGTCGGACTGTGGGATACATACAAACAATCTAGTTTGGACTTTTCGACCTCAAGCTTTCATGCTTTCAACGGATTTTAGAATTTTGAATCTATTTGAAATCTCGAACTTCACAAAATTTTGTTTTTCTTATCGTAATACTTGTTTTAGAGACATTTACACATAAGGGTGTCTTGGTTTCGTAACCAAGTGTAATTGCAATAACTAAAATCTTAATGTGCAACAAAATCATCCCAACCAGAATAACATCTTTGATAATAAATTTATCTAACTAGGAAGTCTTCATGAGAGGATGTGAGCTTCCCTTAAAAACCATAGCACAACTACATCTCTTGGTGAAAGATGTCAATGCTTACAAATCTAAAAAGCCTGAAATCGCGTACATTGTCGTTGACAAGCGTTCATGGAGTGTACATTTCAATTCTTTTTGTAAGCTTAACCTCGTTTTTATTTCTACACAAATTATTTAATTATATATATCATTCAATACAACAGATGTTCTACCAAAAGGACGATTTTTTATTTCAATAAATCCTAGAGATATCAAAAGGACGAT